TCATCAGGACCATCGGGAAATCGGAACTTGGTGGGTGCATTAGTAGAGAGCAGAGCTCATCAGCTTCATTCATAAAAGAACGTGCAGGTAATGGAGTCCAATTCTCTTTTTAAATTTTGCAATACTTTTTTTATTAGAATAAATAACATTAATATAAAATGTTGTACTTATGCACGTAAAACAGTAAGTTAGTGGACATCAGTTCAACCATTTATTAATAATCTTTAACCAGAGTTTGTGTACAAGCATGCAGTGGAAATGCAGTTTGGCTTCGCGCTGCGATTCTTCCTTAAAAGTGTTTGTGTGCTAGATTCTTAATGGATTTATGTGTATATATGTCTTATTTTTCACAGTATTTATGTTTTGCATAATTTTTGCAAATGTGGATATACATATATAGTAAATGCAATTTCAAATTTTCCCTAAGATCTAATTTTCACATTTTCACTTTCTTGTGGAGCAGATGGAAATAACTCAACATCTCTGTCTTTCATCAGCACCGTCACAAAGTCTCAACTCGGTGGCTGCATTAGGGAGGCAAAGCTCATCAGCTCCATTCTTAAATGCTCACTCAGGTAATGGAGACCAATTGTCTTCTTAGATTTTGCACTTCTTTATTTGTTAGAAGATATAACGTTAATATGAAATTTCATAATTATGCATTTAAAAACAGTTAGTACACATCAGTTCAACCATTTATTACTAATCTTTAATCAGAGTTTGTGTACAAGCATGCAGTGGAAATGCACTTTGGCTTAGAGCTCTCATTTTTGCTTAAAACAGTCTTTGTGTGCTAGATACCTAATAGATTTATGTTTATGGATGTCTTATTTTCACCCTATTTATGTTTTGAATAGTCTTTGAAAGTGTGTATATATATATAGTAAATGCAAATTCAAATGTTTTGTAAGATGTTATATACATATTTTGCCTTTCTTGTGCAGCAGTTGAAAGACCAGAACAGGTCCGTCCTTCATTAGGACTATCCGGAAATCGGAACTCAATGTGTGCATTAGGGGAGCAGAGCACGTCAACTCCATTCTTAAAAGAACGTGCAGGTAATGGAAACAAATTATCTCCTTAAATTTTGCAATACTTTATTTATTAGAAGAAATAACATTATAATGGGATGTCCTATTTGTGCAATTAAGACAGTAAGTCTGTGCACATCAGATCAAGTATTTATTCCTAATCTTTAATCAGAATTTGTGTTCAAGTAGGCAGTGGAATTGCAGTTTGGTGTAGAGCTCACGTTTTTGTTTAAAACTGTGTTTGTGTTCTAGATTCTTTATGAATTTATGTTTATGGATGTTTTTTTTCGTACTATTTATGTTCTATATTGTTTTTAAAAATGTCTATATGTATAGTAAATACAAATTGAAATGTTTAGTAGCATGTAATATACATATTTTGTTTTTCTTGTGCAGCAGGTGCAAGACCAGAACAGGTCCATCCTTCATCAGGACCATCGGGAAATCGGAACTTGGTGGGTGCATTAGTAGAGCAGAGCTCATCAGCTTCATTCATAAAAGAACGTGCAGGTAATGGAGTCCAATTCTCTTTTTAAATTTTGCAATACTTTTTTATTAGAATAAATAACATTAATATAAAATGTTGTACTTATGCACGTAAAACAGTAAGTTAGTGGACATCAGTTCAACCATTTATTAATAATCTTTAACCAGAGTTTGTGTACAAGCATGCAGTGGAAATGCAGTTTGGCTTCGCGCTGCGATTCTTCCTTAAAAGTGTTTGTGTGCTAGATTCTTAATGGATTTATGTGTATATATGTCTTATTTTTCACAGTATTTATGTTTTGCATAATTTTTGCAAATGTGGATATACATATATAGTAAATGCAATTTCAAATTTTCCCTAAGATCTAATTTTCACATTTTCACTTTCTTGTGGAGCAGATGGAATAACTCAACATCTCTGTCTTTCATCAGCACCGTCACAAAGTCTCAACTCGGTCGCTGCATTAGGGAGGCAAAGCTCATCAGCTCCATTCTTAAATGCTCACTCAGGTAATGGAGACCAATTGTCTTCTTAGATTTTGCACTTCTTTATTTGTTAGAAGATATAACGTTAATATGAAATTTCATAATTATGCATTTAAAACAGTTAGTACACATCAGTTCAACCATTTATTACTAATCTTTAATCAGAGTTTGTGTACAAGCATGCAGTGGAAATGCACTTTGGCTTAGAGCTCTCATTTTTGCTTAAAACAGTCTTTGTGTGCTAGATACCTAATAGATTTATGTTTATGGATGTCTTATTTTCACCCTATTTATGTTTTGAATAGTCTTTGAAAGTGTGTATATATATATAGTAAATGCAAATTCAAATGTTTTGTAAGATGTTTATATACATATTTTGCCTTTCTTGTGCAGCAGTTGAAAGACCAGAACAGGTCCGTCCTTCATTAGGACTATCCGGAAATCGGAACTCAATGTGTGCATTAGGGGAGCAGAGCACGTCAACTCCATTCTTAAAAGAACGTGCAGGTAATGGAAACAAATTATCTCCTTAAATTTTGCAATACTTTATTTATTAGAAGAAATAACATTAATATGGGATGTCCTATTTGTGCAATTAAGACAGTAAGTCTGTGCACATCAGATCAAGTATTTATTCCTAATCTTTAATCAGAATTTGTGTTCAAGTAGGCAGTGGAATTGCAGTTTGGTGTAGAGCTCACGTTTTTGTTTAAAACTGTGTTTGTGTTCTAGATTCTTTATGAATTTATGTTTATGGATGTTTTTTTTCGTACTATTTATGTTCTATATTGTTTTTAAAAATGTCTATATGTATAGTAAATACAAATTGAAATGTTTAGTAGCATGTAATATACATATTTTGTTTTTCTTGTGCAGCAGGTGCAAGACCAGAACAGGTCCATCCTTCATCAGGACCATCGGGAAATCGGAACTTGGTGGGTGCATTAGTAGAGCAGAGCTCATCAGCTTCATTCATAAAAGAACGTGCAGGTAATGGAGTCCAATTCTCTTTTTAAATTTTGCAATACTTTTTTATTAGAATAAATAACATTAATATAAAATGTTGTACTTATGCACGTAAAACAGTAAGTTAGTGGACATCAGTTCAACCATTTATTAATAATCTTTAACCAGAGTTTGTGTACAAGCATGCAGTGGAAATGCAGTTTGGCTTCGCGCTGCGATTCTTCCTTAAAAGTGTTTGTGTGCTAGATTCTTAATGGATTTATGTGTATATATGTCTTATTTTTCACAGTATTTATGTTTTGCATAATTTTTGCAAATGTGGATATACATATATAGTAAATGCAATTTCAAATTTTCCCTAAGATCTAATTTTCACATTTTCACTTTCTTGTGGAGCAGATGGAATAACTCAACATCTCTGTCTTTCATCAGCACCGTCACAAAGTCTCAACTCGGTCGGCTGCATTAGGGAGGCAAAGCTCATCAGCTCCATTCTTAAATGCTCACTCAGGTAATGGAGACCAATTGTCTTCTTAGATTTTGCACTTCTTTATTTGTTAGAAGATATAACGTTAATATGAAATTTCATAATTATGCATTTAAAACAGTTAGTACACATCAGTTCAACCATTTATTACTAATCTTTAATCAGAGTTTGTGTACAAGCATGCAGTGGAAATGCACTTTGGCTTAGAGCTCTCATTTTTGCTTAAAACAGTCTTTGTGTGCTAGATACCTAATAGATTTATGTTTATGGATGTCTTATTTTCACCCTATTTATGTTTTGAATAGTCTTTGAAAGTGTGTATATATATATAGTAAATGCAAATTCAAATGTTTTGTAAGATGTTATATACATATTTTGCCTTTCTTGTGCAGCAGTTGAAAGACCAGAACAGGTCCGTCCTTCATTAGGACTATCCGGAAATCGGAACTCAATGTGTGCATTAGGGGAGCAGAGCACGTCAACTCCATTCTTAAAAGAACGTGCAGGTAATGGAAACAAATTATCTCCTTAAATTTTGCAATACTTTATTTATTAGAAGAAATAACATTAATATGGGATGTCCTATTTGTGCAATTAAGACAGTAAGTCTGTGCACATCAGATCAAGTATTTATTCCTAATCTTTAATCAGAATTTGTGTTCAAGTAGGCAGTGGAATTGCAGTTTGGTGTAGAGCTCACGTTTTTGTTTAAAAACTGTGTTTGTGTTCTAGATTCTTTATGAATTTATGTTTATGGATGTTTTTTTTCGTACTATTTATGTTCTATATTGTTTTTAAAAATGTCTATATGTATAGTAAATACAAATTGAAATGTTTAGTAGCATGTAATATACATATTTTGTTTTTCTTGTGCAGCAGGTGCAAGACAAGACCAGAACAGGTCCATCCTTCATCAGGACCATCGGGAAATCGGAACTTGGTGGGTGCATTAGTAGAGCAGAGCTCATCAGCTTCATTCATAAAAGAACGTGCAGGTAATGGAGTCCAATTCTCTTTTTAAATTTTGCAATACTTTTTTATTAGAATAAATAACATTAATATAAAAATGTTGTACTTATGCACGTAAAACAGTAAGTTAGTGGACATCAGTTCAACCATTTATTAATAATCTTTAACCAGAGTTTGTGTACAAGCATGCAGTGGAAATGCAGTTTGGCTTCGCGCTGCGATTCTTCCTTAAAAGTGTTTGTGTGCTAGATTCTTAATGGATTTATGTGTATATATTTATATTTTACACAGTTTTTTTTATATATATATATAGTAAATGCAATTTCAAATGTTTTGTAAGATCTAATTACATATTTTCACTTTTCTTGTGCAGTAGGTGGAATACTCAGAACAAGTCTCGTTGTTTCAATCAGATCATCCAGAAATCGGAACTCGCATTAGGGGGCAGAGCTCATCAACTCCATTCTTAAAAAAACGTGCAGGTAATGGAAACCAATTGTCTTCCTTAAATTTTGCACTTCTTTATTAATTAGAAGAAATAACGTTAATATGTGAAATGTTCATATTTATGCATTTAAAACAGTAAGTCAGTGCACATCAGATTCAACCATTTATTACTAATCTTTAATCAGAGTGTACAATCATGCGGTTTGGCTTAAAGCTGTCATTTTTATTTAAAACTGTGTCTGTGTGCTAGATTCTTAATGGATTTATGTTTATGGATGTCTTATTTTTCACACTATTTGGGTTTTCTATTTTTTTTTTTTTTTTTTAATGCATAAGATATATATTTTGTCTTTCTTGTATGGCAGGTCGCAAGGCATTTGAAAAATGTCAGTGAGATGTACTTCAGTGAAGATCACTTTCATCCATTCTCATTGTTTCTACATTTGGACTGCTAAAAATGTTTTACCTGTTGTATTTTTTAAAAATTTTGTATTTCGGCATTATACGCAAATAAAATATTATTTGTTCTTCTTTAGTCTTGAGTGACTTTCTATAGGTATAAGATGTGTTTGAATACATACATTGTCTTCTAGATTTTGTATTTTTAATGTGACTATGCCCATTCAAAGCTATTTACCAATAGAAACATTTTTTAATAGCTATATTTTCTGTCGTGAATACTGAGCTGGAATACTGAAAATTGATGTAATAAAGACAATAATAGCCTGTGTTTTCTAAGGAATTTTATTAATCATGTACACTTTCAGACAAAAAAAAGAAAAAGACTCTCTACGACACACCGAGAAGATATAAAGCAAATTGGACACAAATTGATATGCATACAGGTTTCGATGGAAAATTAAAAATTTTACATTTTGGCTGCTAGTGAATGAATAGTTGTTGCTACAGCGCATCTGATCTGTGCAACTGGCAGGATATTTAAGAGGAGAAATTATGATTCCAGGTCATAAATTCTTCATGAATTTCATTCCATGTACTCTTGTAGACAGTAACTATGCCTCGCATACAGGCGTGCGAAAGATATGTGCAGATGTCAGAATTTGAGAGAGGTCGTGTAGTTGGACCAAAGAAGCTGGTTGGTCTTATCGGCGAATAGCTCGACATTTGAGCAGGAGCGATGCTACTATTAGACGATGTTGGCAGGAATGGGTGAACCATGGCTGCACACAGCGTCAAGAAGGAAGCGGTAGGCCTAGAGAAATGACAGAACGTGAAGACCGAACAATCATCGGAGTGGCACTCACAGCCCCAGATGCATCATTATCATCAATTGTACATGCAACTAGTACTTCAGTGACCACAAGGACCATTCATAGATGGCTAACAGAAAGGGGGCTGACTACCATTAACCTCTGGACAACGTGGAGCCCGTTTGCAGTGGTGTCGGGCTCATTCGCACTGGAATGTCACTGACTGGAGTAGAATATTCTTCAGTGATGAGACCCGCTTTGAACTGAGCCTTGATGACCAGCGAAGGCATGTCTGGAGACGTCCCGGACAGCGGTGTGTTACCAACCTGAGTGTCTTTCTGGCAGACAGGCCGACAACCAGAGAGTGATGGTCTGGGGAGGCCATTTCCATTTCATAGTAGGACCCTTAACGTTAGTTAAGGACTCCTTAACGTTAGTTAACGTTATTATGGGAAAACGTTAGTTGTCATCCGTCTCAAACCTTACAACACAGGGGTTTTTGTCGACAAAGTTCTAAGGCCCATTGTGTTGCCATTTATGTCAGGCCACCCTGGGCTTACATTTCGGCAAGATAATGCCCACCCCCACACTGCACATGTTTCTACTGGTTGCCTTAGTGCTTGCCAAACATTACCTTGGCCAGCAAGTTTGCCGAATCTCTCTCCTATTGAGCACGTTTGGAGCATTATGGACAGAATTTGGCACAATATCCCTCAGGAGGAGATCGCAACTTCTATCAATCGATGCCAAGCCAAATAACTGCTTGCATAAGGGCCAGAGGTGGACAAACGCATTACTGACTTTTTCACTTTGTGAATCTCTATCACTTCAGTAAATCATCCACTTTTTCTCAAACTGTAATCATTTGTTTTTCTGTACATGTACACTGCTCAAAAAAAAAAAAAAAAAAAAAAAAAAAGGACAGTTCTATATCTCCCGATCTACTGGGCCAATTGACAAAATTCGAATTGCGTTCTTCATGTCTTGAAAGCGCGACTTAGGATATATATTAGATTTATATATAGCACTATTCTAACATAGGTATTTTGACACAAAATCGGACTTTTTCTGAAATAACATACCAATTTTTTTACATATTACGACTCAAATTACGCCTAAATACAAAATTTTGTAAAATTTGGAGCAAAATTTACGGAGAAATTCACAAATTTATGTTGGCACTTTTTTGTCAGTTTGCGCCAAGAATACTTTACTTGGCGAACTTCTTAATAAATGGCAACCTAGTTTCCTTTCCCGTGAGAGGAAAAAAAGTCACCATCGTTCCTTTTTTCCAAATAATATTCTTTATATTATATTTTTTAATTATAACTTATTATTTTAAGTAATTTTTTCTTTTTTTCGAATATCATTTTAATTGTTTAAGTTGAATTTTTTTTCTTTTTTTCGAATAACTGTTTTAAAAATTTATATTTACCCACCTATTCGAACTGCGTAAATAAAGGTGCAGCGTTCATTTTTTTTTTTCAAATAGTTTTCTTTATATATATATTTCGTCATAGTTATTATTTTAGGTAATTTTTAAAATTTTATACTTTTATTTTAATTGTTTGTGTTGCATTGTCTCTTCAGATAATTGTTTTAAAATTTTCTATTTATTCCTTCGAACTGAGCATTTTAAATATATTTATTAATATCAATTTTCCAGAATTTGATTTTATTTATTTGAACTGCGTTTCTTTCGGAAGAATACTTTGTAACCCAGACTATGATGCGTTTGAAAACTGCATAAAATACAGTAAAGCACAGTTTTACACGCTTTTCAATGTTTCGTTCAGAAAAGATATATATAACCAACATTTTAACCTTTTAACTGTCATGCCCGAGATAGCACTGGTGTTCGAAAATGTCACGCCCGAGTATTTTTCTCGTGGTAATTTTTTTTTTTTTTTTTTTTTTTTTTTTTTTTTTTTTTTTTTTGAGTGCATCGTATTGTCATACCCGAATATATATCGGGAGATGTTTATTTCGGCTACATTTGGTTTTTCCAATAAAAAAATTTGACAATTTGTGTACCCAAATCATCAAAATAACTTGACAGTTAAAGGGTTTTAACTTAGGATGACTTGCATACACTGCTTTAAGCAGTTTTATCATTGTGCCCATTGCTTTACACAATTTTATCCTACATTTGGTTTCTTAAAATGTTATTCATATTTTAGTCAAATATTTTATTTTTGAAATCGCAAGAATCAAATATCATAAGATTGAAAAGTTTTAAATTTAAAAAAATACGAATACTAAATTTTACGAAAAAATTTATTTTTCTTCTCTTTTTCTTTAAGCATTCTGAAAGTATATTAAAAAGTATCCAACTTTTCGAAACATTTTGGTATTTCTGACAATCATTTTAAATAAAGTTATCGCCTTCCATTTCATAAAGGCCCATAAACGGCTGAGCGGTAAAGTCGCTGAACACTGGTAGTTCACTCCGGGATTCGAACCCCGGTAAACGGGCTGGTTGCATGGGTGTTTTCGTGGATTTTCTCATGTGTACCGCATATGACAGCTGGTTTCACCTTAGAAAGTTCTTCACGAAGTATTTCGTCAGAGCCTTTATCAGTCTTTAGAGGCTAAACATTTTGAAGGTATGAGATGAAAGGAAAGACTGGTTTCATCAAAAGGTTTTGGTTTCCTTAATTATGACAAAGCACACTACGGCTATCTGGCTAAGGGGAAGGATGCCTCCCTGGAGGACTTTCTAAGGAAAACTGGCTCGCAGACACGTTACACATGGGGAAAACCACGAAAACGCCCATGCAGCCAGCCCGTTCGCGGGATTCGAACCTCGGACCGAACTACCAGTGTTCAGCGACTTTACCGCCTGGCCGCTGTTTCATCAGAAAGGGGAAAAAAAACATCTTTAGGTGACATCCACATACATCACTGGATAAACTCCTGAATCTTCAAATAATTCGACTGAGAAAATCATGGGATTCTCCATTTATGATATGATGTTCTGTAACGTAATTTACACAACCATATAGTTTAAAACCAGTCACTCTTCACTTTAATCTGCAATGATATCGTTTTTGTCTTTTCTGTTAACACAAGCTCAATTGATGGTATTTGCTGGTGTACACGTCCAAGTGTTTTCTCTTTGAACACCTAAATTCTTTGAAGTATCCTGAAAGTATATTCGAAAGCGTCCAACTTTTTGAACATCTTGGTATGTCTGACAGCCAAATTTCCCTGCAAATTTTTGCTTACTTTTCTCCCTAATTTTCTTCTTTCCTTCTACAGTTATTTTCAGTGCTCACACAAGAAAATTAAGATTTTTCGACTGCTAGACTTCCATAAATTTTGTATTCTTGTCAATTTTTTAAAATATCAATTATATGAATTGCGTTTCAGCTAAAGACAGCTTTTCATTTTCTAGTTATTTTAACTATAAATAAAGTTTAAAGCGAAGTCCAAAGGATAAATATTTTAATTAAAAGATTTTTGCTAAAGACAAAGAAATAAAATAGTCCAGCAGGGTTTATTTCTGTACCACCGGATGACCCGATTCTTATATCGGCTGAAACAATCTAAATCGTATTAAAGATCATGTTTTTTTATACAATCTATAAGAAAGAAAAATTAGCTTTTCGAGAGAAAAATTAGCTTCTTAAAACATTTTCTTCTAAGAGGATTAATATAAAAGATTATATTTATATATATATTTTTAAAGCTGGAACTTGAACCAAACTGTCAGTCATTTAAAGCTTTAAAATCTTTAATCTTTTAAAAACTTTAATATTTTAAAACTTTTTTTACATGGTGGTTATAATTAAAATTTCCAATTTGAAAATAATAAACTATCGGTCATAAAAGGAAAACTACCGGACCAAATGTTATCAAACTTGGGAATCGTGTAAAGGAGGTTATGAGGAATTTATTTTCCGACGGAAAAAAAAAAAGAGTTCAAAAACTCACCACCAAGGCGGAAAATGGGCGCTGTCTACAATATTGTTAAATGAAATAAGACACAAAAACATCTGTTTAAAATGTGTTTAATATTTTCCGAAACGTGTTACAAAGCATGTTCAATGTAGCGTTCAGCATTTTCCGAAAGCAAGTTAATTCCTGTAACTGCATTCTCAACAGCAGCTCTTAGCATATCAGGAGGAATGTTACGGACATGTCAGTGTATCACATTTTTCATTTCTGCCAAATTGTTTAGATTATCACCATAAACAGTGCTTTTGAGATAACCCCATAGCCAAAAGTCACAGAGGATGAGGTCTGGTGGGAAAAGGGGAAGTGTCGGCCTATAAGACGTTCATTCGTGAAATGTTGCCTAAGTAACTGTGCAATACATGTGAGGTGGGGCCCAGCCCTGCATAAAAATCCTAGTATCTAAAATGCCACGTTAGTGCAGTCCGTGTATCACAAAACATTTTTATCACGAAATATTTGCACAGAAAAATATTTGCATTCAGACAGAAGGTTTTTTGAAATATCTGCAATTACTTTATAAGAAGGATTTATTAATAACCGTAATAATTACTTATTATATTACTGATGATTAGGATTCAGTCTTGACAATTACATTCTAAATTAGAATTTTAAATTAGAATAATGAAAATACACTACGCACAAAAATACATTTTAGGATAAAAAAATGAGTTGATTTTTTATGTTTTAAAACTTCTTGAATTCATTTAAAAAACATCGTATCCTCGTTATTAATTGAATTCAGAATGTTGGGTGTCGTTTATATAATTATTCTTACTTGTTCACAGAATCTGCTGACTTATCCAGCGATTAAGTAGCTGCAGATCATTTCTACATAACCATTGAACTTCCATTAATTCAGTCTCTAGAGGGCTGTATGTTTATATCATAATTTGACTTTTATAAAAATGATTATTCTAAATCTTATGTTTCTATAAAAATATACTGTGCTTTAAAAATATGGATGATAGTACCAGCCGCTCTTTCAGCCACTTCAAAAGCAGTTTGTTTAGAAATAAATTGTGCAGTTAATGTCATAAAATTCAAATAAACATCAAACGAAAATTCTCAGTTTTAGACAATTCGATTTAAACGAAGTAAAGTAGCAGACGATAAAACGCCGAAGGTAAAAATTTACTCTTACAAAAATTTACTCTTATTAAAAAAAAAAGATAGAAATTAAAAAAAAATATTAAAAAATTTATTTAAAAAAATAGCTTTTCATATAGTATTAATAAATATTTATTACGCATCATTGAGGGAAAAAATGTCATATATTAATTCTCCGTAATTTTACTTGAAATTTAAGGTTAAAAATAGCTGTGGGTGTATCCATAGACCACATTTGGCGTTATTAGTCCGTCACAATTATGTACAGACACACGCCAAAGGTGTACGGAAAAGTGTACCATGACGTCACGGGCTTCTGGATGGGTTACAATATTTGGCTTTTTATCATATTTCGCGGTGAATTATGGCAAAGATTAACAATTTATCGTGCGATGTAAACAAACATCGAAGATTTCGTGTTAGGGTGCAAACGTTGTTGTAGTCAAAGAATATCTTAGATATTCGTTGTTGTAGTGTTCGCTTATTAATAAATTTCTTCTGGTGATAATTCAGTTAAAATCACTGACAAAAGTTTGATAGGACATGTGAGAACTTCCATTGCAGTGTTCTTTGAATTAACATTTATTTCCTGCTAAACATATTATAAATAAAAGAACAAAACAATCTTAATTTTTAATATCTGTTAGCACTTCATATAATTTTTTTAGTGGTATGAAAAAATTTTGTGCATTTTGATTTAAAATCAGATACAAAACTGAGTTTTTTTTTTTTTTTTTTCCTTACGAAAGCTGAAACTGTTTAATTATAAAAATACTATTTTAATACTGAATTTTGAACGCATTTTTTCTGTTGATAATTTAGTTAATATAATTAATAAAATGACTGTGCTTTCGCATAATTTAACATCATTTGTGAAGTGAATGACACTAAATTTCAGATGTGATGATTTTTTTTTAAATTGTTTCTTCTGCCTCTGAAATAAAAATTTATTCTAATGTTTTGCGAGTTTTTAAGTGTATCAAAATGTCAATGTTCCATCGGCACTTGTGCAGAAAACATGGGAAATTGACTCATCGTTTGTTGTAATTATTATGTCATTTAATGTGAGCAAAATGTTGCAATGTATTTGATTTTTTTCCTTGATGAATTTGAAATTATGAAAAAATAACGTATGGTGTAGATGATGACAGAAATTTTTAATGAATGAATTTAGAAACTGTAAGATGAAAAGAATTTTACCTTTGATCTGATTCACAACTGCATGTCACAAAACATACTACTTCATAAAGTATGCCGAAGTTTTATTCCTTGCAAAAAACATGATATCTATTATTCAAGTTTGTGATCAGAGAATTATTATAGAGCAATGAAAGAATATGATCTTCGTGAGGTGAGCTGTATTCTTCATAATGAGGAAAATTTGGAGTTTTATTCCTTGCAGAAAACATGATATCTGTTATTCCAGTTTGTGATTAAGGAATTTTTATAGAGCGATGAAAGAATATGATCTTCGTGAGGTGAGCTGTATTCTTCATAATGTGGAAAATTTGGATGAAAGTGCAAATGAATTAATAAGGACTAACCTCCTTGGTGCATTTTCTGCATCTTCTAAATACATATTTTGAAACCATGTTTCAGAAAACACAATAATAAACTGTTTTAAGCAGGATAACTTTTACTGATGGCAAAATCAGTCACTTTCCCCAAACAGATCCAAGTACAAAATATGAAAAAAAATGTCTTTGAATATGATGATGAGAAAACTTTCTTACTTATTATTCCTCAAAACTGTCTCACCCAGTGCTCATAAACTGTTTATGAATGAAATTTTTCATGACAACTGCATGCTGTCCACTATTATTGAATTTTTAGCTCTTATTTCTTAATGAAAGTCCTGTGGAAACATGCAATTTTATATTTCTATTATACAACCATTTATTTAGTTAAACTGTATTGCAATTTCCTTGGGCATATTTCTTATCATTTAATATTATGATTCAGATTTTGCTATCAACACAGATATGGACGAATGTAATGATATGCAAAACAGTGTGTGCTTTTTTTGTAGAAAATGCAATCGAACTTTCCAAAGAGAATAACCTCTTCTTACTTAAATAGATTTGTCTTATGGGAGTGGTTATCTAAGGAAATATGCTATTAGTGATGTTCTATTATCAGCCATTATTTTATTTTATATCAAGTATGCTAATCATTTGCAAAGGACCTCTTCACATAAATTTTCTCTCCATTATACATGTATAAATCAACTAGTTGAATGCTTTGGCATAATCAATAAAGTATTACTACTTGCACAGTGATGTTTTGGTAAAAGTATATTTACGAGTACCCATTGGTGATTTTTGGCGGCACATGGATACCGAGTTTGTGCACATTGACCTACATAAATGCGACATGAAAAATTACAAATTATGATCAGAACAAGAGAGTTATAATAAAACATTGGTATAACAAATACATTTGTTAATGGAAAAAAACATCACAGAATTGCACAAACTAGGCATTGTGCACTGCCTTGAATCCATGTACACGTTGACCTATTTTCACTTAAAAAATCACCAGAGAATTGCAGAAACTTGGCATTGTTCACTCCCTTGACTTTATTTACTGACTGAGTATATTTACGGATGTACAGAACATTCAACTACTCAACAATCAACATAAATGAAACAACAACTTGGCAATAAATGAAACAACATCTTCGCAATAATACAAGGGGTACCCTTCAGTCTACTCTAACCGATGCTTTATATAATTGCCTGTACTTCTGATGAAATGATATTGTAGCTTTTGCTTACAATATTTTATCAATAATTATTTTCTTTTCTATTAAGAGCATGTATAGTCCTCACTGTACCTTTATTTACCTCATCTTTATGATATGCATTGCTATGCTTAATTTGACATCTGCTTTCTATTTTAAATATTTTTCCCTCCTCTTTTTTTTTTTTTTTTTTTTTTTTTCCCAACTCCTTAAAGGATGGGTCTTTGGGAGGAAAAAATTAATGTCTCCTAAAGTGTCATGTGCTGTTCTCAAAGTGGGCCAATCTTTTTTTTCCTGCTTTTTTATTTTCAGCTTTCTTGCAAGATAATCTTTTTAGCTCAAAGGGGCAATTTGCCCAGAAGGGCTATTAATTTTGTTTTGGCATTTTGCGTTGATTCATTATAAATGGTGAATCACTTTTTCAATTGTTGCCACCAAATATTAGAGTATTATATTTAAAGAAGTTAAATAATGAAGAATCTGCATAAATGTATGTATGTTTCTCACATTGTGATAAAACAACTGTTTTTAGGGCCATCAAATTTTGAATAATGTATGTCTCCACCAGAATATGGGCATCTGGAAGCCCTAATTTGGAATTTGTTTTATTATCTATTTCATATCTTGTAACGCATTTATAAGTCTTTGATTAAGAAACTCAATGATTTCAAAGTGAGCAATAGCAACTCTGTATGGGGGGAGGGAACATTTTTATCTCCAATGTGCGAGACTGTGTACTGGGAATTCGAAAGACATGCTCTTTTAAATATTTGTGATATTGCTGTTGAATTGAATTTTATGATTTAAGTGTGAAGAACATGATATTTAATAAATAAAGATAACACAAAATGTTAAAAAAAAAAAAAAAAAGACCCTCAGGGCATAATATAAAATCTGAAAGCTTTCAGTTTTTTTATTTATTTATTTTCAAAAAGTTGACAATGATTGACTATGTTCAGATAAATGACTTGGCGGTTTCACAAAATGAAATTTGCTGTCTGGTTCCGCAACGAAACATGTAAAACAGATCTGATGAATTGGAAACGGATGAGTAATTACACGAGATGTCACTCAAAAAGTTGCACTAAATGTATTTAATATGATACATAATTTGCTATTTTTATTTTCTTTTATATGAACTGTTGATAAATTATGATTAGTCATGTATACTTCAGATTGAAACTACTTTGTGAAATCAGGTAAGGTATGAGGATTGAATATTAAAATTATCGTACACAAACTTAAGAGCGTATTTCATTTCTTAAATGAGTTGAATGAAAATTTTAAATGGGTGAATTATCTGTTTTCTTGGTACATTCACTCTGCTAAAACAGATTACAATATTTGGATTTTATTTTTGCCTTGTGATTTGGTGCAGTTTTTTTAATCAAATCAATTAAATTACTACAAAAATTCAAGAGGGAGTCATACAGTGAGCTATAGTACAATGAAATTAATAAATACACAGATATTACATGATTTGTAAGTTTTAAAATGTTTTATTCTGTAACATATTACAGATAAAAAATGATTACTACATGAAATGAAATAAAAGTTCATCAAATTTGACATAATACCATAAAGGTCATTGTGTGTTCCTGTTGGTACAGGACACATATCCACCGGGTATCACAATTCTATCCATAAACATAGTAAAATTTCCCTGCTGATGGTCACCAAAGGAGCTATAATGCAGTCTTGGAGTTTTGATATATTATTAGCAATAGGAGCATATAAATATAGTCTAAAGCACATTCCAAAAGCAAAAGATTACGGAGTGTATGGTCAATGATCTCATGGTCATCTGAACAACATTGAGTCATCTTCTGATATTGATCAATCCAAAAAAAGATAGAAATTTATTATTAGGTAATATGTACAACAGTTTTCAGAGAGGAAATGTGTATTTTTCTTCTGAATCATATTTCATTTAGAGAAATAACAACTAACTAACGTATTAAAATCTGACATACCTTTTACAGTGTTTCTGTAGAAAAAAAGGACCCATGTACCTTTATCAGTGAAATGGCATATAAAATGTTCAAGTAAATATAATTTCTATTCAGTAACAGCATGACAATTTTCCATGTCCAGTACACAAACGTACCTATCCAACAAATGCTTCACCACTAGATAGTGGAAGAATTGTCTTCCATGCATACGATTGCAAAATTTATATTGCAGCATCTGTAAATAATATGGTTTTAGTTGTAATCAACATTGCAAAATCTTCCCTATGTTTGGTTATAGAACACATATTTGCTACTAATGTAATTTGTAGACCTATCCTGTTTGTGGATTACATGCAGTGGTGAGCTATGAAAAACTTGACAAAGAGTTTGCATTTTATTCTATATAAACAACTTATGCAATTCTAATGAACTGTTATATTTTTTACAAAAACAGAAAATACTAATAATTGTATATGAATGAGAAAAACGTAATATCTTTTACCAATAAATCACAAAATATCAATTTTTAAATATTTCAATACGTTTACCATTACCAGTCTCAGGTTAATCTCATTGATTTTGGAGGGTTAATCTCATTGATTGGTGATAAAATGCATATAATGTATCAAGAAATATTTCAAAATGATTTCTTTAATGGTTTTACTTACTGAATCTTGTGATACTACTGTAAATAAGAAGCTAAGCAGTATACAGTGATAAATTACAATATTAAGAAAAATATCTAAAAGTTTGATTACAGCTACTTTTTTTCCCTTCTTAATATCACACCAGCTGTATGTGAACAAACTGCAATTAAATCTTTCTTCAAATAGTTTTAAAAAAAAAATAGGTATGAATGTTAACCATTCATTATACATGCATGTGTAGATTCAGCAGCAGCATTTTCTGAGTCTAAACAAAAAGAATAAGTTGTATCTATTATAGCTTAGATATAAATTTAATAAGGGGCTAATGCAAGTTTCCTATAGCTCAGTTACTAATTTATATGTGAAACTAAATTTTTGCACTGTTTCATTGGAAATGACTGGCCATCTGGGGTTCTTGCCTTTATATAAGTAGCCAGTGTTCTTGAACTGTCAATACCATCATAGGATACTCTGCAGGCTTAGAGTCATAGGATGCTTTGTGTACACTGGTGTGCAAAAATTAAGGACGAAGTTGAAAAATTAGCATATCAGCTGAACGAAGAGGCAGAGCGGACAGAAAGACCAATCAGGAGATTAAGTAAGGTGATGTATGGTAGCACATGCGCAGATATGCAGGTAGACGTAATGGGGGAGTGTCTGAGTAGTATAAAGCATGTTGTCGGTGTAAGATCAGTATTTCTGGCAAAGAGATTGCACGCCGTATAGCAGTTAAAATCACACCGAGTTGCTGCCTCAGCGAGAAATGGCAAATAATCAATCTGTTAGACGACATCTGGAATGCAGTCGCTAAAACACGACACAGGGACTGGACGACCGATATCGCGTTTTACCATGGCCAGAAGACTGCACGGTGGTGGTCTGTTTGCACGACGCCCTGTACGGTGTGTACCTCTAATGCCTGCCCATCGGAGAAGGTGTTCTCTGTGGTGCCGGGAACACTGGAATTGGAGAGACAATGAATGCGGACGAGTACTCTTTACAGATGAGAGCAGATTCAGTCTGAGTAGCGATTCTCATCGCATACTCATCTGGAGATAGCGGGGAAGCCGCAATCATCCCTCGAAACATCATTGAAAGGGACAGGTATGGAGGTGGTGGTGTTCTCGTTTGGGGAGGCATCATGCTTGGTAGTCGTACAGACCTTCACATCTTCGATGCAGGTTCAGTCAACGGGACCCGTTATTGTAACGAGATTCTTCTTCCATATGTGCGTCTGTTTAGAGGCACTATGGGTCCGCAGTTCCTTTTCATGGACGACAATGCACCATGTCATCGC